GTGATGAAAAACCGATAGGTGAACATCCATTTATTGTAATAATCTTGTATATAAGAGAAATTTGTTAGCGCAATCCTAGTGAAATTAAAATGTAAAACACGATGTAGCTGTTTTCGCTTATTTCATGAAAGTGACTTTTTTCCATCGATTGTGGGGCACACTTCTTCATTATTTTTATTTTTTAGAGTGTTGAGGAGCTGCAATAGTGAAGCAGTTGATACAATGTCGCAACATCTTAGTGATATAGAGTTTATCACAGTCTGTTGAGACTGTCTGTCACGGTCATTGGATGGACGAGGTGGAGGAAGGAATGTAATAGTTTAAATTTCTACCTGAAATACTTCAAAACTCCTTCTGAACTGTATTTCACAAAAACAAAATCTGATAGCTACGAAATATTTGATGATGACATTGATTATTGACAATGCAAACGGTATATTCATTTAGAGAATTGTGTTTTTATCCACATTCAATGTGAGGTTTCTTGTTATTTTGTCACAAAATCACACAGAATAAAAATACCAATTTATTGTCTTCAGCAAAGCCTGTTAGCTGGTTTTTGTTCAGTGACAGACTTTTTTAATAATCGATATAGAAAGAATAAAATATTTTGAAAAGGATGCCCCTGAAAGTACTTGTCAAAAAAGAATTTGTATTTCTTGAAGGTATAGTAATCAGACAACTAGCTCTTTCAATGATTACAGGGCGACAGTTTCAATTTTTCATTCATTCGAAAGAGGTTCACTAATAGCATTGAGAGCTATTAAGCTTATGTCCTCCTTCCTCAAAAAAGTCATTTTTCGTCAGAATCATCGAAATTGAGATAAATCTATGGGGGAACAGCCCGTTATCTGCTCTTTTATAAGCGAAAATTTTTTTTATTAGGCCTCTCTTTTTTTCCAAGAATTTTGGAAGATTTTCGTCATCCTCTATTCGAAAAACAAGCCGTTTTCACAAAAAAACCGATAATCATTTTCGTTTTTCTCAGAACGTGGGTTCGATGACGTGCCTCCAGCCTCATTCTATTACAGTAAGTGATAAAGCCAAATATCTTTCTTTGTTTGAAAGCTCATGTTTAGGGCTAGCGACTCTCGTGGCTTTTTTTAAAAAGGGCTAAAATAAAGAAAAAATGCTACTATGTTCGTCAAAATTTCGCTATTTTCTGAGGACCATGACCTTGCACATGGATAAAAAAGTAAGAGAAAGAAAAAAATAAAAAAAGACCGAAGAGAGTCGCTAGCATCAGAGGTCCTCTTTATGATAAAAAAAATCGGCTTTATCTCTTAAAATAGTTAAATGGCCTTGGAGATACTGAAGAGATAAAAATGGCTACTGAAATTGACCTAGCTCTCGCTTAGAAAGAGATTTAGAGCTGAAAGTTTTTTTTATACATGACTATCCATCCCCAACAGGCGCAGAAAGTTTCAGCTCAATAGCGCGTTCCGGTTCGGAGATCCTATTTTGAGGGGAGGGGGCCTTAATCAGGACTTCAGAATTTTATACCTTGACCTGCCTAAGTCCGAAGATTTCGCAAATATCGATTTCTAACTAAAGGTTTACTGATTTTTTTTCATTTACTCTTTCAGACGTTCTGTTTGTGTTTCTATTTAGTTTTTGTCTCAAACTATAGAAAATCGTTATTTTCTTACTAGTACCTGCCTGAGACCGAAGCCGAACTTAATTGAGACTTAGTAGAATTGATTCGACTCTAAATGAAATTTTTTGTCATTCATTTTGCTCTTTAGCCATTTTCAGTAATTTATTCAACAGGGCACGTCTTATTTATATCAATAGCAGGAGAGTCTTATTTGTGTCTAAAGTAAAAATAAAATTTCAAAAGCAAACAAGAGAAATGTCTTCTCTCATCCTTCGGACAAAGTTATTTTTGCTTACAAATGGCAATTCCAAAAAAGTAAACTTTTGAAGAGCCAATTGTTTCCCTAATTCGAGATACTTAAAACAACAACAGAATAAAAAAATCAGTTACCATTTTGATTGAGCAACTAAGATGGTACATTATAATTAAGAGTACAGCTGATGATAGATAATGAACTACTTAGACAATTAAATTATCAATTAGTAGTATTGTTTAGAAGCATGTTGATATGCATTGATAGAGTTTTCTTAGTAATAAATATCGTAATGCTTACTTTTCAATGCAGTCAGTTGATCTAAGTATAACTTTTCCAACTAGATTGATAGAGAAACAGGTTTTATTAAATTGGAATTATAGCCAACAAGAAATGTATCGTAATCAATTATAGAAACAGTCGCTAGTGTTTTTTGGGAATGATCAATATCTGACTAATTGATATTCACCGAGTTTTCGCATTAAATTTGAGAGTTCCAAAAAAATTCTTAAGCTATATAATAACTCTAAACATATTGGATGCTAGATTATTTGGTTTATTTAGTTTGATTGTTTGAAATAAGTAAGGTTTACGAAAAAACATCGTGTTTTATCTTATATTCACGAGATCGGATGAAATCAGCAAAATACATATAATTCCCAATAGCTGATGAAGCCACATACATATGAGATATATTCTAGAAGATTGATATTTACATTCATAAGGTATTTTAGAGGATATTAGTTCGGAAAAAAATTTAGTTGGGAAATTTTTTCCCTTTCCTCCCCTGCTCTGATCAACTTGTAGGGGAAGGACGACGGTAGTAAAAAAATCTGCCCCGTAGAAAGAAAGGAGTGGGAGGATTACATCATCAACATAGGTTTAGCTTGGGCCCATCTGTTATTCGAAATTCTTTGGAGTAGCAGTTGCTTATAGTCAAAAATATCTCATACATATCTGAATATATAGCACTTCTGTTGGAGCTACAAAATATTATTTCAAGCATCTATTAATCATAAAAGCTATTAGATCATATGTAAAATTACAGTTGAAGTTATGCTTTTGACTATAAAATATTTTAATCCATCGAGAGAAAGCCATTTTTACAGTAAAATAGTTAATGTATCTTCAATGATCATATATTAAAAATGATAGATTTTGTAAAAAGAAAAATAGTGATATTAACTCAAAAATTATTTGTTGAAAATTATTTTTGCTAGAAAAAGGAGTATTTTTCAAGCTGATAAACACCTTGAACAATACAGTTTTGTATAGATAGAAATCGTAACAGAGATAAACGTTTTTAAGTTTTAGTCGAGGGGGAACAAACTGATTTCAATAGCTGACATCAAGTTGAAATCACGAAATCAGTTTGTTCCCTCTTGCAATTATCATACTTTTTAAAACGCAATTTGGCTGATCTTTTATTTATTTCATGTAGGTTTAATGATTATTTACTTTCTTTGGCTTCATGATCATATTCTCTAGATAAGTATGTCCTAAATCTAGGTAAAGAAAGAGAAAACTATAGAGATTTTAGTTCCATCTTGAACGCGAAGGATAGATAATTAGCAATATTAGCAATATTAGATTAACTTTTCATAGTCAAATCTTCATTTTGAAGATGAAAGAAAAACTTGAATAATGAACTAAAATTCGAAAACAAAAAACTATATCATTACCAATTTCAGGATAAATTTAGCTTAAGAGTCCAGACGTTGGATATGAAAAGCAAACTTTGAAGCTGCGTTCTTTGATTTGAGCAATAAAATGTTTCCTCATATTAAGTTAGAATACTTTTTTCTTAAATATCCTAACATTGGGAATGAAAAAAAGATTTCGGTAATGTGTTCTGTGATTTAAGCAACAAGATCTTTGCCAACTTTAGGATATTTTCTTGTTGTAATATCCTAACTTCAGAGAAGAAAAATAAAATCTTACTTATTCTTCTAAAGATCTTTAGTGATCATGAACCTAATAAGAAAATAATCATATACTTATTTGCAGAGAATTTCTCTCTCACAAAAAAGTCATTTTGAATTGAAGTAAAAAATACATTTATAAATACTTGTTCATTTATAAAATGACTTCAACGAAAAAGTACCTGAAATGAGACTAAGACGAGAAACAGAAACAATTGTGTAAAACATGTTTCAAAGACTAGGAAACCTCTTCTATGTTCACGGCTCCTTCGTAAACTACTAATCATTCCACAATTCGCAAGAGTAAAAACAGAGTCAAACTAAATTCACTATTATGTTATTCATCATAGTACCGGGCTCTGATATGAATAGATATATTTGAATTTGAGTAGACTGAATACAAGTAACATATTCTTAGTTACCGTGAAATAATGTCTGAAGGCGATCGAAGTAGAAAAAGAATCAGTAAATACACCAGCTGTATATCCAAGTGAATGACAAAAAACCAAAAAATTATGTGACGGGAAATACGTTTGTCATCCTCTTTTATAATAGTGATTATTCATCCATAAATTACCATTCTTTTACTTTAGTATACAAACGAAATCGGTAAATGGAAGAAAATGTAGGCAATACTTTTTCTCGTCTTACAGGTAAAATAAACACCAAATTTATGGATAGAAAAAAAATAAAAGTATAAATACATTCACATGCTCTCTTAGACTGACGAAACACATGTAGGTGATCAGGTGCGAGAAGATATGTAAACACGACTTTTGTTTTTTCTTCTTTATGTACACGTGGTTTCTTGATATTTTCAAACTTATGAAGAGAGCATGAGCGATATATATAGAGAGACCAGAGGTGGGCAAAATGAATTTTTTCAAGTCACAAGTCAAGTCAAGTCAGTAGAACGATTCTTCAAGTCAAGTCAAGTCAAGTCAATGGCATCTGGAAAATTTTCCAAGTCAGTCAAGTCAAGCCAATGATATTTAAAAATTCTTTCAAGTCAAGTCAAGTCAAGTCAAGAATATCAAAATTTCTCAAAATCAAGACACGATCTCGTGGCTGAAAGGTATCGCCTCGATCAATCTTTTTTTCATTCACACTGCACATTTAAGTTACATACTATTTATTTATTTACACCTTTCAAAAAAGACTACATCATAAACAAAAAAATACAAGTTTCATATATTTATCATGAACAAAAAACAAAAGTTCCATATATTTATAGAAGATTAATATTGCACTTCAACATTGTGAGCATTTGTAAAGTTGTTTTTGACATTGTAGCTCTATGTTGACGCATAAGAAATCCGCTTTGAGAGAAAACCCTCTCGACGGGTGCTGATGTTGCTGGAACACAAAGTACTTTCGTAGCCAATTGGCTCAGCGTTTTATATACAAATGCTTTTCGAAACACCAACATATTATCATTTTCGATGTCTTCCATAAATAATGAAATTTCATCTCGAATGTATTGAAATGGATCAGTAATCTTTTTTCTTTTGATATCAGTTTGAAGATAAGAAAATAAACCTTTTCTTTTTGGATTAATGACAGATATATCGTCCATAGTTTCTTCTTGTGTTGCATCAACATTTACATCAGGAGCAACATTTAGTAAAACAACACAATAATCAAATACAAAATTTTTAATTTTGGTACATGCATCGGCTTTCTTCTCTTCATTCAGACAAGATTCAGTTATCCATTTCAGTTTAAATTTTCCATCTAAAAATGATGAAACTAGAAATATTGGATCTCCATATAAATCATATGTTCCTTTTTTCTCGAATACTGTATCAAATTCAACATTTAATGATGTAAGTAATCCACCAAATCGACCGATTAATGATGAAAGTAAAGCCTTACATAATGTAGTTGTATAAATAATATTGTCTCGCTCATTAATTAAATCATAATAAATAGAAATAATACTTGGACCAACAAGCGAAATTGATGGTGCTTTTTCGGCTTGAGTAACCGTTGTCGCTTCACCAAATAGAAATAATAATGATACAAATTCGTTTAACATTGCTAAATCACGTGGTCCTAAACATAATTCTTTTCGTTTTAATTCAATTAATATCGAATTCAATTGTGTCGATGAAATTTTGAGTATCTTTTGCACTGTAAAAAGTTGACTACTCCATCGAGTTTTGGTGCTTTCGGTATACTGGCACCTATTGTTTCTAATTTTTCAGCAAAACTGATGCTTGAATGTGATAATTTTGCAATTTTAGATACTTTAGTAATCGTTTGTTTAATGCAAACGGCTTCTCGTAAACCATCTTGAACAACAAGTTGAAGTGTATGAGCGAAACATGGTAATCTTAATTCGCTTTTTGATGCCAGATTATCAAAACTATCTTTAACAATATTTAATGTTTCTTGTGTTGACATACTAATATGTGTTGCTGTATTATCATGTAAATCATTATCATTTTGATCTAAACCATTATCATCACTATCTGATGAATTAATATCATCGTCATCTTCATCATCATCAGAAAAGTATGATTCGAATCCAGGAATAATTAAATCGGCAAATGCTTTAATATTATTTGAAGCATTATCGGTTATAATTCTACATAATTTATTCTGTATTTGAAATTCATTAATAACTAATTCATAATATTCTAGTAATTTTTCACCAGAATGACTTCCATTTAGAGGTAAAAAACAAAGAACATATGATTTAAATTGCGTACCAAGAATGGCATGACCTAAATAGAAAAATTACGTAAATATTTGACATAAGATGAGAAATTTACCTGTGATACTAAAAAATGAACGAGCTCTTTTATCGGTCCAAATATCCAATGTTAACGAAATATACTCTGCTGTTGAACAAAATTGTTTTAATAAATCATTCATTTTACGATAAAGAGTTGGAATTGTATCTCTTCTTAATGTACGTCGACTGGTAATCTTGAATTTCGGATCAATAGTAGACATAAATTTTATGAATTCTGGTCTTTCTACTAACGATAACGGAAGACCAAGTCCAACTATTAAATCTTGAACGATAGCATTGTGTAATTCTTGTTGTCGTTGATGACCAGCTGGATACGATTGTTTTGAAGATGATGGTGATGGATTAAGATTAATAAAATCAAGTAATTTCGGCTGTTGTCGATCTAAGCCGTTCAATTTATTTAACCATGCAGTATATTCAGTTTGATGATGATTCTTAACATGACGATTAACATTAGAAGTAACGCCAATATTATCATATACTGTATCATCACATAATAAACATTTTGCAGACCAATTTTTATCATTTTTTGCAATGTTTGTGAAGAAATCTTCTCGAACACTTTTTCCAACACGCTGTTTTTTGGATGTTGCTTCAGATTTGGATTTCGGTGTTGAAGATATAGACGAAGAAGTTGATATAGTGGAGTTTGTATTTGAAGATTCAGCATTATCCATATTGATTGTTCAATTTAGGTAACTTCTTCAGTATCAATGTTATTGTATATCAGTAAAGTGAAACTTTTGATCTCGTTCAAAAGGTCATTTTCAACAATGAGATAAAATGTGAGAAATTTTGAAATAATGAAAATAAACAATGCTTCATCTTTCTCTTTTTCGTTGCTATCTGTTCTGACTATTGCAACGATGACAACAATACAGATATCGTCCAAGTGCAATACTCAGAACAGACCGAACAGAAAAGAGAAAGAAAAAAGCATTGTTTTATTCATTTATTTGGCGTCTGATAAATGATTGATAAATTAGTTCATTTAGCAATTAATTCATTCACGTCCTTAAATTTATGCAAAAGTCACACAAAAATAAAACATTTATGATGCTTGTTGAGAGTTACACAGCGTTGTTGCACCAACAACGACGTCGCATCTGCTAGTTAATAACCAAAGACGAATATACTGATGTTCACAGTCACATCATTCATTAGAAAAACAAAGAACATAATTAGAAGATCAGAAAAATTTTACTTCAAGTCAAGTCAAGTCAAGTCAGAGTCTTGGAAAAATTTTTCAAGTCAAGTCTGACTTGACTTGGACTTGAGGCATTTTTTGACTTGACTTGCCCACCTCTGAGAGAGACAATCTTAAGGGTAAGACTCAGAGGTTTCTTAGTGTTAAAAATTCAGAAAGTCAGCAATTAGTTTTTTAGATACAATAATAATCACCATTAGTAAAACTAATGATGAATTGCTATTTTCCAATAATATGTTAGTTTTTTTGTCTTGCTTTTGAAATTTATTTTTGTTTTATTGATAGGAAATGCTAAAAGGAAAAGAATACAGAAGTCCAGAAAAAAAAATCATTTGAATCTTAAGAAAATAATTTAGACCAGAGATTTTTTAAATTAATCATTATCAAGTGATTTTCAAAAATTAACTCAGTAAGATGATGTACACTGTAAAAAAAAACGGTACTTTCTGGAACCTCAAAAAAAGGTTCGGTAGATGACAAAAAGTTTGCAAATGTGTTGAAAGTTTCAAAAAACGAATAAAAAAAACCGGAACCTTTAAAGGATCTTACCGTGTACCCAAGTGAAGATCCTTTTTTCTTCGAAACCTTTTTAAGTTCCGTACACCAAAAAAAAGGTTTTGTAGAAAAGTACGAAACCTTTAAAGTTTCGCATCTAGTATAATAGTTTTATAGGAAACNAGATTCGATGTTCTATGGCAAAAATAAAATTTTGGGTGGGGGGTGGGCCTTAAAGGTAATAAGTAAAAGAGAAAAATAATAACTGCCTGATGAAGCCTTTTGAATTGATACTTTTGAAGGTATAAATACTTGAAAGGTTTCTTTTTTTTTTTTTTTTTTCGAGATCGCATCCAATTCTCAATATTAATTTTCTTCGAAGAATTCTTTTCATCTCATATCTTAGAGAATTTTACTATCTTCCGATGTAGCTGATTGTTTTAGTATCAAATTTTCGTTCGGTTTTGAATTACATACGAAATTCATCTTCTTTCTTTATTACAGACGTGGTATTGATATTGCAAATATTGATTGTGTTATTCTTTATGATTTACCAAAAAATATTCGTACATATGCACATCGTATTGGTCGTACAGCACGTGCTGGTAAACATGGTCGATCAATAACAATTGTTGAAAAAGAACGTTTAACAATGTTTCGTGCAACAATAAAAACTTATCGACGAAATAAACTTAAACATATGAATATAACAAAAGAAGATTTTTCATATATGTTAAATGATTATCAAAAAGCATTAGAAATATTTTCTAGTAAAGAACAAAAGAAAAAATTAAAAAAAAATAAATAAATTTTTCGTATATCATTATGAATTGATTTATTTGAATTCTTTAGATAAATAATGATGATCGATATAAACATTTGTTTCTTTTTTTTTTTTTTTTCAATTGATTGAATACATTGGTTTTCTCGAAAGTAGATTTAATTGTTAGAAACAAAAGAATTGTATATGTTGCTTTCGAAATTTAAATCTGAAATTTTGCAGATCTTAGAAAGCTTTGTAAAAACTATTATTTCAGAATTCCATCTGTGTATTTTCTACGACGTTTCATTAAACAATTACAGACATCAAACAAAAACGAAATTTATGAAAATAGCAGGTCACAGAAAATTTGTCGACCACTTTAAATCTTTCTCTTTCAGTTGAAACATCGTCTATACATGCTTAGAATAATTTTTAAAAAACATAATTCTTATAATTTTAAGCAGTACTGTAAATAACTTATTTGAAAAAAAAAATAATTTAGATTATTTAGTCTCGAAATAAATATTGGATTTACATTAACAACTTCTATTTCGTACTTATTCATAAAACTAACATTTCATTGAAATTAATTTCAGATTTTAATCCTAATCCGTTCCATACGAAAATTTAAATCATAATTAAAGAATGAGCACAACAACTGGTATGCATTAAATTGACAATGAATTTTATACTCTTTTTTTGTTTCTTTAAGAAGCAACATTATTTGATCCATGTTCAGGATGTGAAATGCCATGTTCAAAACATGCTTGTTATCCATCTGAAATATCAAAAGAAATTGATCAAGGTAATATGGTTGGTTCAGTTGAAAAACATCGTCGTCATTTATGTATTGGTCAATCAATTCCACCATCACAATGGCCAAAAGATATAAAAGATTTAAAAGGTGATTATATAGCTGAATTATCTCGAGTTTTAAAAGAAAAAAAAGATGCTATTGGTTATGCGGTTAAATTATCATCAGCATCAGTTGTAACAACAGCAACAACAACAACAGATAATCCATCACATATAGCTGATTGGTATGTATTTCCTGATCAAATTAAAATAAGTAATGTTAATATTGAACAAATTGAACAAGTTATACAAACATTATTTGTTGATGATCAATCAGTTATTAAAATTAAAGATAAAACAAAAACAATTGAAGAACAACTTAAAGAAGATAATAATTTACCTGCTTTTGATGATAATATTAGTTGTCATAGATTACCTGGACTTTGGGTACTTGTTTGTTGTCATTATCAACGTGATCGACGATGTGGTATGTTAGATATAGAGTCTTGCATGAATTTAATTATAGGAATCCAAACTACATTGATTTTACATCAGTCATGAAAAAGTAGATAGAAAGCGATAGATTGCGTTAGAAGAAAAAAAAGAACTCGACAGTTTTCAACGTTTAGACCGATAGATTTAAAAATAATATTTTATGGAAAGAACATAGGCTGGATTTATGTCTCTTTCATATATACTAATGTCCGCGCCAGAATAAAAGAGGGGTGAGTGTAAGCTCAATAACTCGACAACCGCAATAGCTAGCTACCTGCGGTTTTCACCAATCGAAAGAGGAGGAGCGGGCACGTCTTTTTCTTCGATAATGTATAAGACGAAATTCTTTTAAAACTAATCATATTTGAAAAACATGCAAAACAACTCATGAAAATGACCTGTCAGCTAGATGAAATTTTGTTTTTGATCTTCGATTTAGATAGAGGGACTTGAGATCTACAGTTCAAGACACAATGCGCTTTCTTACTTTTTCTTACATTTTCATCGAAATGTCAAGCTACTCGGATAAAAGTGCGAAAACTTAGTAAAAAAATCAGCAAAATTTCCTATTATTTGCGCATGTAGGTACATGATTCCATTTGCTCAACGTTAGAATGTAGTAAGACATTCATTTGCATTGTATCTTGAACTATAGATCTCAAGTACGTCTATCTAAATCGAAGGTCAAAATCAAAATTTCATCTAGCTGACAGGTCATTTTCATGAGTTGTTTTGCATGTTTTTCAAATATCATTAGTTTTAAAAGAATTTCGTCTTATACATTATCGAAGAAAAAGATGTGCCCGCTCCTCCTCTTTCGATTGGTGAAAACCGCAGGTAGCTAGGTATTGCGGTTGTCGAGTTATTGAGCTTACACTCACCGCTCTTTTATTCTGGCGCGGACATTACCTTCCCTTTCCTTATTGTATGATGGCGATCAAAACATATTTTCTTCAATGTACACAGACATTTATTTTGCTTAAACATCAATCAATAAAATATGATTGTTTTCATGAAATTAATTTGTTCAATAAGAGAAATCTCTAATGTTTTTCAATAATTACATTTTTATTTATATGAATTAATAGATATTTATTTTCATAATTTTAGGAGTCATTGGACCAATGATAGTTGACGAAATAGACAAATATGTTCGAGAAGCAGATCTTACTGATAATGTTCATTGGTTAAAAATTAGTCATGTCGGTAAGTTTTAAATAATTCTCAGTATCTAATTTTTCAAAGATGAATACCAACAACAAATTTTCTTATACGTCTTCTAGGATATCTAGATGTTCTTGGTAAAATCTAAAGGTGACTACAGATACTTTCTCTATCTAATCATATATATTCACTATTAGATAGAGAAAGTCTTGTTCTGAAGTCAAAAAACTTGTAGTCGTCTATGTATAAAAATCTGAATATAATAAGTATTTTTTTTTTTTCGTATTCAACAATATCTGTTCATTTTATTAAACAATCTGCGAAGCAAAACATGCTAATCTATACACGCATATTTGTACAATCGACCTTGTGTTTTTTTTGAATTATATTTTATCGAACAAAAGACTCCCGTAGTTTCAACATGAACATTCTTTTGTAGGGCGCTTGTCTTTACGATCGCATATGTGATCGGTAGTTACAAACGACTCAGAAATTTTCTTTTATTAGATTGTAATGCACACATCTATATTTATCCCATTTACGGGTACAATGTTCTCTTTTTTCCTTTCATTTCACTCTACTTTTAATAAAACACGCGATTTTATGAACAAATTAATCAATTTGAAGTATTAAATTCAGAGAGAAAACAGTCATTTTTATTCATTTGATCATTTTATTTGTTTTTATTAAGGTGGTCATAAATTTGCTGGTAATGTTATTGTTTATCCATCGGGTACATGGTATGGTCGTGTTTTAACTTGTCATGTTCCAGTATTAATTGATGCATATATATCATCATCGGAAGACTTGAAAACAAAATTAAAACCCCTTTATCGTGGACATTTAGATACGACTTGGTAACAAAAAAAACAACAACAACGAAATTAAATAACATTCATGTTTCTTTTGTAATTGTTGTCTTTGTGATATAATTATTGCCTTCCCTCGTGGTTTTTTGTTTTTTCTTATTATATAAACATCAAATGAAAATATGATTAACTAATATCAATATATTATCTGAGAACGAATTCTTTGTTAAATGTTAATCATCAAATTTCTGTTATGTTATAATAAAAGATAACTTCTTGTATGTTTAATGTCTTAATAAAAAAACTACGATTGACATGATTGTAATGATTGACTTAAACCTGTTTCCAATCTTTCTTCTTGTTCTTTTTTTTTTTTTTTCTTTTTTTTTAATGTATTGTTCGCTTGATCTTTAATCATTCAGGCGAAAGGAAAAGAAGTTTGTTGACAGGCAAGAGAATTTTCCTTTTTCTCTTCTTTCCTTCAAATATATATATATATAAAGTTTTTCTCTTCTTCACCAAATTACCTAAATAAAGTCATCAATCAAAACGATATTCATTTCATAATACTGTCTTGTATTTTAACCGATCTCCGGTTCGCATATCAATAACAATAGCAGCTTCATTGACAACAATAATAAGTGCATAGTTAACGACAAATCTATACTTTTTAACGTTCATTTTCCTGTTTTTCTTACATCTTTATACAAAAATACTGATCGTCATCAACGAGAACCAAATATAAGAAAAGGTAATATAACAAAGTTTCTTTTTTACTACAAGCTTGTTAAACAGAAAAACATTAGTCTTGCGGTGTTTAACGACAAACAGATTCGCATAATCTATCCTAAATATGACTAAATTCTTATAATCATCAATCTTTTGTTTTTGTTCTTTTTGTCTCATAAAGTCATGATCATTGATATATTTCTTAAGAGTATGCCTATAGAGATGTCACAACAGGAAATTATTAAAACAATTTCATAAATAATACTTATAATTCTTCTGTTCTTTTTTGTTTTATCATAAGAGAACAATTTGTTTAAACATATGGAATTATTTATACTTATTACTGAATATGATGAGAATATATTTTATTCTAGACTAACCTTGAGAACAATTAAATTGCTTTTCCCTTTTTTTTTTTTTCTTTTGCCTAGAAATTTATCATTGTCGTTTACTATAAAACTACACTTATATATATATAAAGAAATTAGTGGAAAATTGGAAATCCACATCGTACGCTTCTAATAAAATTACTATGATTGCCTATGCATCACTTGAATGTAATAGCTTTGAACTAAAAGATTGTCATCACCATAAGAACTGAGCAAAATAACAAATTATTTCCTTGAAGAGAAGACATCTCATCATATATATATATATATACTTATGCAACTTGTGTTTCTTTTTTGGTCAATGATAATTCAAATAAAAGAAATGTTGCATGATCGATTTTTCTATTTTCATTACGGCTTATATCTTTTATTACCTTTATTAATTGTTGGTAATGAAGATTTTAATAAAATGGATGAAGAAACACAGTTAATACGTATGCTTTTAAAAGAAAAAGATTATTTAAAAAATGTTCGTCCATCTCAAACAGTTATGGTTGATATACGCTTTGTTTTCAATCAAATTATATCCATGGTTGAAAAAGAACAAATTATTGTTACTAATTGTTTTGTTGATCAAAAATGGACAGGTGATATTCAAAACAAACGAAATCGAATTTTTTTTTTGTTGTTGTTGTAAATAAATTTAATTTTCTAGATCATCGACTTGTTTGGAATCCATTAGATTTTAAAAATATTACTTGGATTCGAATGCCAGCAGTATTTGTTTGGTAGAGAATATAAAATAATAGATTTCAGGAAAAAAAAAAACAATGTTTTTTATTTTATTTAGGTATCCAGATACATTTTTATATAATACGGCTGATAATGCTGGATTTCTTCTTCCACAAGATTCACAAAATGTAATTGTAAGTTATAATGGTACAGTATTTTGGCCATTACCTCTGGCACAATTACGTACTCGATGTCGAATGACAATAAAACATTTTCCTTTCGGTACTTATATTATTCATATTTATTTTCATGAAATTTTTTAGTATAAAAAATGTTTAAATCAAATTTTCTATTGTGTGTAGATAGCGTGACAAAAAAAAAGAAATATTCATCACTAGTCGCAATTATTCTTTTTTCTTTTTCTTGACATCCTCTATTAGTTGTCATGCAATCGAACCATATTTAACAGTTTAAATCAATAATAATAATAATACTTTCTTGTTTATACAATTTATATTTTCTTAGATGAGCAAACATGTGATATGATATTTGGTTCCTGGAGTCATACAAGTTCATTAATACATTATAGATTTTGGGAAAAAGCACCTGAATTACCACAATATACACCAAATAATGAATGGAAATTATTAGCTGTTGCACAATCAATAAAAACAGTTCAATATCCAAATTGGGTTGAACCAGATACTTTTTTTGAAATTAATTTTACTATTTTAATTGTACGAAAACCATTACAAGCTATTTATAATACTGTTGTACCTGCATTAATGTTAACAACTTTAACACTTGTATCATTTTTTGTAAGTTTCATTTTTATAAATATTATATTTCTATTTTCTTTTTTCAATAGATTCCTTTTGCACAAGAAATGCAGATTGGTAAGTTTCATGATCGATAAGAAACAAAAAAAAAAAGAAAAAATTTCTTTGAATTTAATTATTCTTTATAGGTATTAGTATTATGTTGGCTTATTCTGTTTTTAGTTTACGTTTATCAGAAGATGTTCCATCTCAAAGTGATAGTGTACATTTAATAAGTTTCTATTTAACTATTTGTATGTTCTTCTCATTATCAGCAATGACTTGGTTTGCTATAGCAAATAAATTACGTGAAAAGAAACGTTTACCTTATTGGCTTCGTTGGTTAGCACTTGATTATATGTGTTGGATTGTATGTGCAACAAGTATGCATCGAAAAGCAGTACGTACAGCTAAACATCAATCGAAAATTCCTACAATAACACCATCACCAACACCAGTTACAATTGCATTACAACCATTAATTACAACAAATTCAATTGAAAATTCTAATAATTCATGTTCTCAACGGGTTTCTTTATCAACTACAATGCCAGGCAAAGTTTTACTTCATACACCAATAGACAATGTTCAATGTACTAATGAAATAAAGACTACACCAAGATTATGGATTCGACGAACATTATCAAATACTCAATCAACAACATTAAATGGACCTGAGAATAGAAAAAAAAAGCATGTAGTTAAAAAAATTCGTCAATCAAATAGTTCTTCATTAACAAAAAATCAAGAAAGTTTATATGCTGTACATATTATTAATCGTTTAGTTTTTTTCATGTTTCTTTTCATTGTTATCGTTATTAATATCTATACATGGTTTTTATATTCAGGAACTGTTAAAACAAAATTATTTGATAAACAAACAGTATGGACATGTTTTGATGAGTCTCGTCTTGAAATTGTCAATTGTAATGAAACATTTTAATAAAACTTATTTACTATTATTCATTTCATAAGATGAAAATAAAAGCACTATAGAAACATTTTTATTTATCAGCTTCTACTCGAAGAGAGTAATAAAAACTCATTGATATCTAATTATTACTCAGTTAAAAATACCGATATCTGATATTGTGAGTTTATTTGTTATTTAACATTTTGATAATCAACAAAAAAAAAAAACATTATGTGTTCTCTAAAATAAAAAATAAAAATATTTACATTGTTAAATGAGAAAAGAGCAATAAAACGGGATGTACCTAATGAGAAGATAACTATGAAAAAATCAAAACAACAAAATAAAAGTCGAAATAAATCGTCGACTACCAGAAGAATTTTAACTAATGGACCGTTATTTGTACAAGTATTCGCAAGATTAACCTTGTTTTTCATGAATAAATTAAGTAACTTATAAATACTTGAGGTTTATTCAAACTCAATAATATTATTGCTTGAATGGATTTGATCAACGTAATAGAACATGTCACAACCATGTCAGTCTTGAAAAACGTCATTGAATCAAATATTCATTGACAAAAAAAAATGAAAAGAAATGTAAAAAAAAAAAAAAATTTCTTCTTGTAAATGTCTGATAACGGTGATATTTCTTTTATATTAAAAGGTTGTTCGTGACCAACATTCATAAAAAAAAGAACCATACATAAGTATTTATTCATTCTCTCTTGAAAAAAAAAGAAATAATGATTTGCAGTTCGATTATCAGTAAAAATTCTTTCTATGTCAATAGAATTGCTAAGCCAAAAAAAAAATTTTTTAACCACAACTTCCCACTTTTCTAACTCCTACACAGTGTGTTCTTTTGTTGTTGTTTTGTATGCTTTGAATAGTGTCGATGCAGATGGAATTTATTTTTATTGATAGAGCGAGAGCGATGGTTGTAAAGAACAAAAAAAAAACATAGAGAGAGACGGAGAGACAAAGACAGAGCAAAAAAAATATTGTGGTAATAGTAGAAGTAAGAAGAAAAAAAAAGAGAAGGTGAGCAACTGGAATTTTGTCGATTACTTTTGTGTCGTCTTGAAGTTTCTTGCATTATAATAAAAGTATTAGCAATATGATGGAATAGAAAATTGACATTTTTTTTTTTTCTTTCATTTTAGTTTTTATCAATCGATACGTTTTCTACGAAATAAAAATGTATAAACGATACGAAGAACGACAAGGAGGAACTACGCGTGAATATTTTGAAGCTGATGATTCTCGTAATAGAGTATCAACAACAGAAACAACTTATCGATCATCAATGAGTCCACGCGTTACTAATGTACAACGATCACGTCCTTCGGCTTTTGGTGGTGGTGGTGTTATGACACGAGTTTATCAAAATTTTCAAACAAGTGGTGGACGTGGTGGTTTTGGTCCAGGTCTTGCTTCTCTAGCAAATTTTCCTGGTGTACCAATGCGTGGTCCAAGCAATTCAAGTACTGCATTAGTTGGTCTTACTACAACACGTCATCGTGATAAACGTGAACTTGAACAATTAAATGATAAATTTGCACAATATATTGAAAAAGTACGATTTTTAGAAGCACAAAATAAAAAATTATTACTTGAATTAGAAGCATTACGAAATCGTGCAGGACAGTAAGTTTAAACAACAAAAAAAAAAAACACACACACACAAAGCTAAAAGAAAAAATAATTTTGTTTTCTAGAGGTTCATCGCGTATTAAAGAAATGTATGATGTTGAAATGACTGAAGCTGGTAGATTAATTGAAGCTGCAAAAAAAGAAGCTGCTAATGCTAATAATAAAGCTCAGCAAGCTGAACAAGAAGTTAAACGACAACGAGCACGATATAATGAAGTATCTGGTTTAAGAGAACTCGATCGTAAACAAATAGATGCTATTGAACGACAAATTGCTGAAAATCAAGCTGTAAGACTTTAATTTACAATAATCCTTGAAACTTTTAGTAATAATAATGATTTTCAGTGAAGGATAAATGATTAAAGTCAAATATACTTCATATTAATATTTGCACATGTCTATTAAGACATTCGATGCGATTGTGTAAATTACACAATATTAAATTTTTTTTTTTTTTCTTTGCTCTTATTAATTTTCATCATATATATGTGAAATCGATGATGAATAAGTATAATCTTTACAATCAATTTCTACGCATAGACAGATGTCGTTGAAATGTGTGTGTGTGGGGCTTTTTTTTGCAGGTTAAAATTATTTTTTGCAGAATAACAACCAAAAAAAAAACATACCTAGAAATTCGATAGAGGTGTACTTCAATAGTTTTTTTGTTATGATAGTGAATTATTCTATGAGAACAGTCACGACTTAATCAGTATTTTGTTTAGATAAAAACAAAACAAAAAAAGAGAGAAGAAATTCTTAGGTTTCGATGTACATATAAAAAAAAAAAGTATTCGTTTTTGTTTTTTTCTATATAGCAAATAAATTTATTCCGACGTCGTATTGCCGACCTTGAAGATGAAGCACGACGATATAAAGCTGAAAGTCAACGTCTATCATCTGAAATAGCACGTATTCAACATGAAATACAAAATGAATTATTTCTTAGATCATCATCTGATGTAGAAAAAATAGCTCTTCAAGATGAATTAGCTACACTTAAACAAATACGTAAGATATTTAATTAATTAATATTAATTTTTTTTTTTATTTTTCTTTTGTACTTTAGATGAATCTGATTTAGCTGAAATTCGTTCTCGAGCTATATCCACTGATCTTGATCCAACGAAATTTTTTCGTAATGAATTAGTACAAGCTATACGTGAAATTCGTAATGATTATGAAAATGACGTTGATAGTAAACGTGCGGATATGCAAAATCGTTATTCATTAGTATGCAATGAACTTTTCATGCGTTTAAATCGACCAGATACAAATCCACTTTATAATGAACAACAACGTCGACAAGAAGAACGTTTTCGTAATGAAATATTACAAACACAAAATCAAAATGGTTATCTTCGAGCAAAAAATAACGATATTCACAATCGTATTGAGGAACTCGAAAGAAAAGTTAAATCATTACGTGAAGATGGCAGTTATGCTCAAACTAAAATGGCTAAAGATATTGAAGAAGCACGTCATCGATTAGAACGAGCAAATCGTCAATATGAAGAAGTAACAAGCTTAAAAACATCATTAGAAAAAGAAATTAGTACTTATAGAGAATTACTTGAAAGTAATATAAACATCATTTTTTTCTTTTTTTTGTTTTAATTTATTTTTGTTTCTAATAGGTCAACAAGGTCTTCGTGGATTTGTTGATCGAATTGTACAAAATGCTGAACAACAAGCTTTTGATCGATCTGTTGGTGATAATAGTAGTGCTAGTTTTGGTGGTCGTACTGGTGGATCAACAACAACTGTTAGACGTACAGTTTATACTTCAGGTGGTAGTGGTAGTGGTAGTGGTGGTTCAAATTATGGTTATGGAAGTTTAAGTGGATCTGGTAATGTTAGTAATCTTATTAATCAAAACGTTCGATCAACAAATACTTATGAAACACTATCAAGTGGTTTTAGAAATACATATCGTGATAATACTGGTAGTAATAGTATGACACGACAAAGTGGAGACTATTAAATGATTGTTGTAAACCATTTAATGGGAATAATAAACATTTGAACTTACACATGTAGTCAATGAGTTGTTGTTTGTTTTATTTAAACTATTGTGATATAACATATTATAATTAATTACATTTCTTTTTTTTTTTCTTTCAAAAAAATAAATAAAATTTTATGCATAGTGATACTGACTACAACAGTTTTTTGAATTAATTCAATATCTCAACAAAAAAAAAATTAACTAATATATAGCAATGAACAATGTAAAATTTATGAAAAGAAGGAGGCAATTGTCCGCAATACTTTTCCTCTAAATCTGTTACTTCTAATAACATGTCATATCCAATATCATTAACTATACGATTCCATGGATAGATTTCGATTAGTAAAGCAAAAGTTGTCATAGATTCAGAATTTCCAAATGCTTTCTTCTATGACATATTGAAGACACAAGTACCAAAAATGACCTGAAGTTCTCCTCTCCTCCTAAACGCAAATCACTATAACTCATTTTTTATGGATGGATTTTTTTTTAATAACAACTAGGAGCAAAGTGGCGTGTAGATTCTTTTCTTTTTTCTTTGAAAAATATTGTTTTGTTTGCTTAAGAGAACAAAAATGCGGGAAGCCCTGTCAAAAACGTGTTTTTCTTTCCCTACAGCAAATATTGTAAGATCAACCGCAAATATCCATATTATTATTTTAAGAAAAAAAAATATACACGGTTGGAAAAAATATTATTCCAAGGGGGGTAACGCTATAATTTCAAATAGGTGATATGATGACTTTTATACCAAATGAAAGCCCGTGAAAAATGGGATTTATTGATGCTAAATAATAAGGGTTATGTAAACTTTTTAATATCGAACTTAAAAAACTTTCAGACATTTTTATACATTTTTGCGGGTGGAAAAGGAAGGTGCTAGTAATTCAAAAATGGAGTAAAATATTTTTCTTGGATATTTTTACATGGTTCGATAGAGCTCGTTGAGCTCTACAAAATTGTATATACTAAAAAATTTTAAACAGGATTCTTAGGTTGAAATTCACTGAAAACTGTCTAAACAAAGTACCCAAAAATCGGCATTTTGTACAGTTTTTATAGGAGAAAAAAGTGGTCTTTTTTACAATAAATTCAGTTGTTTTTCATTAGTATCCTTATATAATATGTTTGAAAATATATTCATTCGGTGCAGTTTTTCACGCTGCATCGAATGCGTATATTTCGAAATGCCTGGGGAGGAGTAAAAATGATCAAAAAAGCTAATTTTATTGCAAAATCGAATGTTTTTCTTCCATATCAAAAATATCAGTTTTTTAACGTTTTTTAAGATTTTCAAAATAGTTTTTTTAATTTTTTATCACAAAAAATGACTTAAAAAATTCTTAGTATATACAGTTTTGTAGAGCTCGACAAGCTCTATCGAACCATGTAAAAATATCCAAGAAAAACATTTTACTCCATTTTTGAATTACTAGCACCTTCCTTTTCCATCCCCAAAAATGTATACAAATTTCTGAAAGTTTCTTAAGTTCGATATTAAAAGGTTTACATAACCCTTACTATTTAGCGTCAATAAATCCCATTTTTCACGGGCTTTCATTTGGTATAAAATTCATCATATCACCTATTTGAAATTATAGCGTTACCCCCCTGGAATAATATTTTTTCCAACCGTGTACATAGTAAATTATTGGAAAAATCTATGGGACTTTTTTCTGATTATTATTTCGATATTNCGATATTAAAAGGTTTACATAACCCTTACTATTTAGCATCAATAAATCCCATTTTTCACGGGCTTTCATTTGGTATAAAATTCATCATATCACCTATTTGAAATTATAGCGTTACACCCTGGAATAATATTTTTTCCAACCGTGTATATACACCTAGATTTCCTTACAATTGTCGCATAAAAGGTTTCAGCTCAAACGATCGAAGTATCTGGAAAAAATTAATTTTGACAAAACAATATACAGTTTTCACTTAAATATGAATTAAAATTCAAAATTGAATATTTTGAGTTACAAGCCAAGATGTAGTAAATTTTGTCAATGTGGAAAGTTTTTCAAGTCAAAATTCAACCATTAGTTTTCCTCAAAAAAAAAAAAGATCATAAAAATATATTATCTTCGAGTCAAATGCGATTAATTATTTAGAAGAAATTCATTTGCCAATTGAACCATATTTTAGTTTTTAAACTACTAAAAAAATTTATATTATAATAACAAATATTGTTCTACATCTGTTATAAAACACATTTTATGTATCATGTCTATTAATCAGACGCATCATTTTGTCTTAATCCAATTGTTTCTCTCATTTCGATCATCATCCAAATGTGTTATCGAAAAAAATAAATCTATGTATATCTAAATCAGCTCTTCTTCAACTCACACAACTAACAACACTGTAATAATTTCATTTACAATGTGTCAATAAAACCAATTTTCTCTAAATATCAAGATATTAACTATTGAAATTTCTTATACTAAAAACAAAAATAAAGTTCTATTTAATTTAAATAGACAATGATATATTCTTTATAATTTTATCATCTGTTTTCAATCCAATTGATATTTTTTTTTTTATCATACAAAAATTGATCAAATGAACAAAATATAATTGAAAACAAATTTAACAAGTTCCTGTTATAAATTACACATAATTTGCAAAGTGGCAAAATTAAATAAACTAACCAAAACAAAAATGTATCCGGTTTGAAAAAAATTTAGATCAGAGAATTGAAATATTATGAAATCGAACAAAAAAAAAAAATCCAACAACGACATTTCAACTGAAAGAAAATCATGAGATACATTCGAAATCTATAGGAAAGATAAAATATAATTCCAAGACACGTGTTGTGAGTTTTCGTATTTTGTTTATCTTGTTCTTCTTATCAGCTGTTTTTATAGAAATTTTTTTTTTGTTTAATTTAATATATAGTCGACTATTGTTTTCGTCTTAATTGATGTTTTTTTATCATAACTAATGATGTCTCATCATTTCTTCTTCCAATACGAATATTAGTTGTCATCTTCAATTCAACCAATTGAACAATTTACCTTTCTCTCTCTCTCTCTCTCTTTGAAAGCGAAAAAAAAAAAAGAAGATAAATTGTATATTTTAATACGACGAACAATCATTTCTTCTTTCATTACGTCACTTACATATATATTCAACGATTCTTTTTTCTTTCATTAGTATTCATTCAAATTTTTTGAACAACAAAAAAAAACAAAACATGATTCGTATTAAACAAGATCCTGATGCATTAGATTTAACTAACCGACCACAACAACATTTACTTTCACCTACAATTGATCATGAAGATGATGATGATGATGACGAAAATTTTTCTACTGAAGATGATACACATGATTGTCTTCCAAAAGTATAAACGGAAATTTTTCGATATTTGAATTTAATTTTTTTTTTTTTTTTTAGAAAACAACATATGATAGTGGTTTTGTTGATACAAGTGATGTAAATAATAGTTCAATTATGGTTAAACAAGGTGGGTTGAACTATCTAATGAATATCCACCATAGGAATAATTCATTTCAATGTCCCATCTTGTATATCTTTCTACACCTCAAGCAATAAAATTTCCCGTCAGTAGGAGGTCTCATAATTGTTTGAATGAATAGAAACAATATTGTATATAGAGAATAACTAGACACCTTTCTCTTGATCAATTAAAAGCCTGGAGGTTTTCTTATTCTTTATGTTAATAGAACAAAATCATCATCATCATTATCATAGTACTCCACTTCGTCCTCAACAGATACATTCACATATTCGTCATCCAAGTACGAGTAGTAGTACATGTTCATCACCAACACGTCAAGAACAATCAAATGATAAAGAATGTCGAAATACACGGTAAAAAACAAAAATAACAGAAAAGTTGATTGGTTAATAAAGAAAAATTTTTTTTTTTTTTTAGATTTTTGGGTAGTCGAGCTGTTGCAATTTTAAATCAATGGTTTCAATCAAATCGTGATTATCCATATCCGGATGATGAACGAACAGAACAATTAGCTAATGAAGCAGGTAAACTTTTTTTTTTTTTTTTTGTTTTTGATACAAAACATCAATAATATTTTTCATAAGGTATTACTCAAAAACAAGTTAAAAAATGGTTTGCTAATAAACGTGTACGTAGTCAAATGTGTTATAAACCATTATATCGATCTCGAAAAGTAAAAATGAAAATTTCTTTTATATTAAAATCTTTCGATTTTCTATAGCCTCGAAATTCAACATCTACTATTCCTGAACGTCAAACACAAACAAATTATAATTATATTATTAATCATAATAATATAGCAACACCTCCAACAAATTCAATGTTATTTAATCCAATGGCAACATCAATGATGATGTTTATGATGCAACAACATTTTTTAACATCAATGATGACGGGTGGATTTTCTCAAGCACCGATTGCACCACCGCCGCCACCACCACCACAACCATCGATAACAAATACACGAAAACCAAATGTTGATCGAATTACTCGTTTTTGGTTGTAAGAAAAACAAAATGAATACCGACAGACAATGAGAAAAGACACTCTCAATAATACGCAGCATTTATTTGTTTCATATGCAATGTATTTTGTTTTTGTTTCTGTTTTGCTGTCTTGTTTATACTTGGTTCTTTTTTGTTTGTTTGTTTTTTCGCATTGCAACGAAATGTGTATATGTGAGAGTGTATTTTTTTGCGATTTTTATCTATTAAAGCTATAAAAAACTTTAAAGATAGTTTAACTGATGAAGTTCAAGTCGAGTCGAAATCAAGATAGAGTTCAATTCTTGTAATCAACAATAAGACTCATGATTCTATTATATGTGTCAACTGTAGAATGATACAAGACAAATCAATGTTATAGTCAGATTTTCTCACGCAGAAGACGAATATATATTTTTTTTGGGAATATAGACACATCGTACATGATGCAATAACCATAAGCTCAGAAGAATCAAGTTAATTTTCGGTTCGACACTGGATTTAGTTTGATGAAGAATAGAGGTCAATCTGATACAAATCATTAAGTTTCATTGGAAGGACTTTTCTAGATTTGTTCGCCTTTGTTACTCATCACATCATGTTGAGATTTCTTTTTTGTAATAAAATTATTATTGTCAGAGGTAGACAAAGAATATGATAATCAGTTATTCAATAAAATATTCATTCACTTTTCAGGCACTTGCAAGAGCCTACAGAAATCTGAAAACATCGAGTTTGTATCAAGTGAACGGAGCATATTGATGTGTCTTACAGCAATAGTCTCGCTTACTGCGTGTATGGGATTGCTGATCTTTTTGCATAGAATTCAACATGAGATTGTTCATTTACAAAGTAGTATCATTCAGGAATGGAAGAATCTCACTTTGCAAGTTTGTTTTATTTAGCAATGTACTATTTGATAGAAAAATGTTTGCTGCTTTATTCTCTGATATTAAGTTCTAAAAAAAAAAATTGAAGTCATATTCGGAAAAAATTCAAAAGTCTGATTCTCGCCTAGTCTTTTCAAATTTCTGTAAGCTTTTTAAAAAAGGCTAAAAAATGAACGAATATTTTGTCAAATCACTATTAAATTCTTCCTAGTTAAAAATAATCGATAATTTTCTTAAGTAACATTTAAGGTATGTTTATTTGGTGTTAATTGAGAAAAACATTCGATCGAAAAGATAAAAGCATTATTCATATTGCACAGGTAGGGATCCATATTTTTTTTCTTTTTTCTTTCTCTCTCTTTCTCGAGAGAACCGTTGTCTTCTTTGATGTCTCTCCAATGCTATCGAATGGTCTGGCCACTTTGTCGTTCGATTCCAATCGATATGTCATTTCCCACTATGCTTCAATTCATATTACCTGTATTGATGCGACAAGTCATTTTTATTTTTGAATATATACAAGCATGAAACAGACCGCTTCTCAGTATGACGTCTATTGTTCGCACGTACACTATTTGGTTGCTCGTCTCATATATATATATATATACAACAATTATCCAATAGCCAACCTTCATTTCTCACCTAGAATAGATTATCTATCGATCTGATCGTCATTTTGTGTTATCGTGTTAAAGGTAAAAGAGCATTCATAGCGAAAATATGTCCGATTTAGATTTATATCTCGATAAAGATATGTGTATGTACATATATATAATCGAATTAAATAACATTGGACAATGTTCAAGTATATATATATTTTTTTTTATGATAAAATGAAGGATTATTCTTAGAACTTTATAAAAAAAAGACGATGATCTTGGAATATTATTGACGTATAAGTAAACACTAGGTCTTATTTTGATGAGAAATCTTCAATTAAAGATAAAAGTTATTCAAATAATTTAATTCCGACATTTCAATCGTTAAGAATAAATTGATCGTTTGTTTAATAGATTATGTAATCATCTATAACAATCTTCAACTATTTTAATTGATGACATGATGATATATATTTCAATGATCATTAATTGAACAAATTAGAATTAATCTTTCTTAATTGATATATTACAAGACACTCTAAAAGGTTTTCCACAAAAGTTAATAGTATAGCAGGAGATTATCATAATGAAGTTGACATCTTACAGAAAGAAAAAAAATTCTATTTAAGTTGTTCTATTACACATCTCATAAAAAAAAAGAAAATATGTTTGAATAAAATTGATCATATTTAATCAATGAATACAAACGGAACCAAAATATGTGCTTCTTCTATATATCTTGTTGTTCGAAAATAATATACTTAGATATAAAAGATATCTCAAGAATACTAGAGCCTATTGTGTCTTACGAGTGATGCTCATCATGTTGGCCTTAATGGACGACGAATACCCTGAAAATAGGTCGGGCTTTTAGCTTATGACTGCTGAGATGCTGCATTTTTATGGTATTTTTTAAGTCAATGCTGTGGAGAAGTTTTAGATTATTTCTTTGTTTCTATCCTGTGTTAGTGCTTTGATAAAAAAAGTTAACTGTTATATTGCTAATATACAGTGCCAAAATGGATGCTCTTTTTTTCAAGAACGCAGCAAACCAAAAGATCTGAAACTTTCATAATAAACTATTTTTGTTGAGATTTATCTCTATGAAATGTTTCAAATGAAAATTCGAAAATCAGTTTTTTCGGATGCTCCTGAAGACACCACGGCAATCAGTTAAAAAATACCGTGAAAATACAGTATTCGTGTTGCAATAAATTAAGGGCTCAAGTTGTTTTCAAGATTATTCACAGCATTATTTGGATCTACGTGATGCACATAATCCAGATACCAAAGCAACTAGACACTTGAGAAACTTTCCTCGGCGTATTACTCTAAAAAACCTGGTATCCTAACTCGATGCTATAGGATAGAGTAAGGCATTATTGCCCTGCAAGTCCTACTATATATAACATTCAAATATAAGATAATAGAAAATTGAATTCAAATTATGAATGACAATGAGTTAGTAGATTTACATTTGAGTGAGTGATTCAAATAAACACAAAAAAAAAAAGAGAATTAGTCAATAGAATTATTTTGTCTTTTTCAATTATCTTGTAATTCTAAAACAAGTTGCCTATATCGTGGATCATCAATTGCATTTGTTTGTATTTGTTTTTGTCGTCGTTGTGCACTTATTTTACGTAATTCTATTCCATGTTTATATTTAAAAACTTTTGATGAATGTGGTGCATTTAAAATTTCTAACATAACTGGTTGTATATATAAAAATTTTTGTTTAATTTTTTCATCAGTTACTATTGGATTTTCATCTTTTTGAATTTCAAAAGAATCTTGAAAAAATGAAGAACTATCACTTGAAAATATACTTGGTAAAAATACATGACTTTGACGTGTTTTAGTGATAGTTTCTTTATTCCACGTTGTTCGACATGCATCTCGATATGATTTATCTAAATCAAACCATTGATGTCGTTTTGATAAATGTTCATGTGCAAATAAATGATCATAAGCATGACGACGTCGTACTGTATCACGATTATCACATTGAAGTTGATCTAGTTTATGACGTATTTCACGTCGATATTCATTTTCGGATTTGATTAATAGTTGAGTATATAAACTTGGAAGTCTATTGACACTTGTTAATTTACTTCTTTTACTATTAGAAGACAAAAATAGAAATTTTAGACAAGTAATTTGATTAGTGAAAAAAAGAGTCAACAGAAAGTTGAGGTACATCTGAAGAATGAACTTATGAGAAAAGTATTCGAATTAACATTTTACCGACGAATGGGTATGTGTCAAATTATTAAAACTCGAAAACTGAGAATTCGGTCGTTTCTATAGCTCTAGTGACCATATTTTCTAATATTTAATATTTCAAAAAAAAAAAATAGATATATTTGTTTGTTTTGACAATGCCCGAAAACTCTAATAAGAATTAGATTTACTGATTGACATAATCTCGAGTTCAAATTCATTTGTTCCGATTTATCGACATCTATGTCAGTCGAAAATTCATTATAATGTGTCGAAGTTTTGAACAATAGTTTATAAGCACAAACAGTTTTGTTTGTTTTTCTTAGTCTCATAGAGTTGTACTTATAGACAATATTTGAAGCTCAAAAGTAAGGAAGACGATGATTTTTACTCAATATTATCAACACTAGTAATTTCGTCTAGGATTGATAATAAAAAAAACTAAATATTTTTTTTCAAATATCTGAGTTTGTCTTCTCAATTTTGACTTATAAGATTATATAAATCTTTATTTAAGGCTTCTTAAAAAAAAAGAAAAAAGTTAACTATCGTCAAGAACATGAAAAATTGAATTAAACTCAGAGGAAGATAGTCTGAAGTTTGATTTTTTTGTTTGGCATCTCATTTTCTCTAAAAAATTTCTTTTTCAGATAAAATTGAAAATCGTTTCCCAATTTTTCTCTGTTGATGTGTCTTTTTAATCGTGCACTTCAGAATCCTCGAAGAAGTTTCATCATAGTCAATGGGATGTTGTTTATTTGAAAGAGTATGTCAAGATGCAGAACATGACAGAGTTTCTTTTTTTAAATTCTTACTTTTCAAGAGGAGAAAAGTACAATGCCTCAAAAAGTTCTCCAAGAATGACGCTCTAATTATAAAGGAACTCCGTTATGCCTTGCATCTTGACATGCTCTTTAAAAAAAAAAATAAAGTGTATAGAATGGAGGCCAACGGACAATTTTGGATGGTCAAATGAACTACTTTCGATTCTAGCTTGTTGAAAGGCTCGTGAAAAACATCATGGTAAAGAGTTGAAAGTTTGATAATAAATTGTCCACTATAATCTCAACGTATCCTGAACATTTCATATGATTTGTTTGTACTTAATACAAGATCGATTTTTGAAGGGTGAGGAAGACGTCTTAACTTTACTAATATGGATTTGAATAAAATTATTGCATCATTGTCGTTCTAGGAAATATTTGGGTTTCATTAGAAAAAGAAAAAAATATCGTTAAATCAAATTGTATATATCGATTTTCTAATCAAACATAATGTTTTTTAATAGTTATTTTATGTTAAAATGTTTTGTTTTTATATAATAGTTTTTATAAAGCAGTAATAAATATGAATTCTTGATCTATTTTCTATCTTTCTGAAAGATATATTAAGTAACTCGATTATTTTTCCAATTTCATTAAAAAAAAAAATCTTTTTCTACTTACGAATTCATTTTCTTGAAATATAATTGACTTTTTACTCTTCAATCTTTCGATAAAATGAGAAGTTGAAAAAACAGAACCGATAATGGTTGTTCGTCAAATCAATATTTTTAATACTTCAAATTCATCTTATATTTACCAAGAGAGAATAAGAAAAACGACATATTTTATAACCGATCGAACACATTTAAATAAAAAAAAAAAACAACAAATTTTACATGGTTAAAGTTATAGGATTTTAGTGATTTGTTTTAAATGACTAAGAAAAACATTTGAACGTTCGAATCATTATGGAAAGTAAAAGAAGAAGAAACTTGTTGTAAAAAAAAAACAACAATAACAAGAGAAAAGTAAAGCAAATTTAGTAAAAAAAAAAAAGAATTAACATATTCTAATTTTATTTTTAATAGAATATTTATTGAAAAATTAGTTTGATGATTTTAATGATACAGAAAAAAAAGAAAACTTATCAATCATCATGTTTTGAATATAGTAATGATATTTATTTACTTTGTAAAATATCAATTTTTTACTTGTAATTCGATGCTTTGCAAAAGTCATTTTTTTTTATTTGAATAAATTTTTTTGTCAGGTACATTTAAATGTTAAATTATCGATCACATTTGTTTATGACATACGTAGATGGTTTCGAAAGCTCTTTAGAAAAGGATGGCTGTTACATTAATATTGTTGTCTGTGTGTGATTCACGTCATTGACTCAATGAATTTTGACTGATTAAAACAACCAATAGAAAGAAAATAATTAACCTATGTGATTTACATAGTATGTCATATATTTCGAATTGATTTAAGTTCAGATTTTGCACAAACGGAAACGTTATGGATGGATGTTACATGTAAAAGATGACTGCAGTATTCTATATTAGTGCATAATTTACTTTCGATAAATCATATTTTTTTAAATAATATTATAATTTAGTCAATTGGTAGAATTCTTGATTACTTTGTTCTATCTTGTTAAAATTTTTTAATTATTTTTTATATTTTTCGGTTAATGACACTTTCTTTATTTTTATTGAAAAAAGCTTCATCAAGAGTATCCATTCAAATAAATCGATTGATATCTCTCAAACAGTATTCTTTAGTTTGTAGATCTCATAATAGAAATAATTCATTATTAGAATATTCTGGTAATTGATTTATTCGTCATATCAGTTAATAGTATTAAAAAGAAATGTTCTAAACTATAGAATTATTGCTGAATATTGGAGTAATGTTTTTTTTTTTGTCATAGTGAATCAAATCTATTTGATAACAATCATAAAAGAAATAATAATTTCAAAAGCATTTTCAAATCAATCCTAATGAACAAAGTGAAATTCAAAATATAATATTTGCAACTATATATAAATATATATGAAATATTAAGTATCAATTGATGTATACAAAATAATTCTTTTTTTTTCATATGCTTTTCGAATCATTTGCATTTTTTTTCTAATCTTATTTCGTCATAGTCTAGTTAAATTTCTCGTTGGTTTTTCGAACTGTATGTAATTTATTTTTCATTATATCTATTCAATTTACAGGTGACAACTGATATTCAATGCTACGATAAATATGAAAAAAAAAGAAAAGAAAATTATTCAACAATAGTCTCCTTGGAAGCTATATTTCATAATAAAATCATTTCTTCCATATGCGTGCAAAGTCATTCGTTATCAATGTGACTTCGTCAAATAAAAACATTTGTATTTCGGTATAATGAGCTTTCTTAGAGCTAATTTTTATATGTTACATATATGGTTAAGTTACTCTACGTATACTGGAAAAATCAGCACCAGTGACCTTCGTTCAGAGGAATATCAGTAAAACCAATAAACATTGACGACGTGACAAAAATGCACATCGATGTTCACTTCATACATTTTAGTTTAAAAACTTCAGATTGAAACAGCATTTTCAAAAAGTAAATAGTACATTCTGTAGATAGCTCTGAAGACTACAAAATCACTACTCACAGTTTTTTCTAAGCATGTCTGGATTGTTCAAAAAGCATCGATTGATTTTCCATGCTAAAAGAATTTATCCAGAAAAATAATTCTTGTTAAGAATCAGTGGCGGATCTAGGATTTTTGAGTATGCGATATCTCGTCTTTTGAGCATGGGACCCAGACGAAATTTATGGAGGGTGACATTGGATCCAAATGATGAGTTTCTATGAAAGAATTTTTGCGATCGAAACTTGCGAAAAGAAATCGTTTTTTTTAATATTAATCTACATCGAATTTCATCAGAAGATTTCAAATTTCATCCAAAAATATACATCCGTTGAGGAGTTATGACGTTTTGGATTTTTCCTTCAGGTCCCAAAATTTCTGGCAAAAATCTAAAACGTTATAGCTCATCAACGGATGCATACGTTTAGATGAAATTTGAAATCTTCCGATGAAGTTTGATGTAGATTAATATGGCATTCTCAAAAATACAGCACTGTTACAAACAAAAATTATCGAAGGGGGAGACGATTCAAAAAACGATTTTTTTTTCGCAAGCTTCGTTCGTAAAAATTCTTTCATAGAAACTCATCATTTGGATCCAATATCACCCTCCATAAATTCGTCTGGGTCCCATGCTCTGAAGACGAGATATCGCATACTCAAAAATCCTAGATTCGCCACTGTTAAGAATCAAAGTTCAATAAAAGGTGAGTATGTTTCATTTTGTCTGAAATGACCGATGCATATTTCATTAGGTTTTTTTTTTTGTCTATTTCATATATGATGCTAATTTAGATAATCCATATTCACATTCACGAAATAAAAAACACCTAATAACAGAAAGTAATATAACACCACAACAATGTCATTCTTGATTTACTAATCGTCATCATCACCTACACATCGTTCCGTAGAAACAAGTTAAACAAAATCAAATTACAAATTGTTAAAAAGTAAAAATACTTTTTTCTTTCTTTGAGATTAACGCAAATATTATCGCTGGAAGGAAGAACCTCAAATACATGAATATTGTGACTATTGCCAAAAACAAAACAAATAACATCCTCATCTCTATCATTTTCATTACCATCAACTCTGACAACAATAAAATCCAATCTTGTAAATCAATGAATAAATAGTAGAACAAATGGTTCATAAAATCACTCTATTAAATGATTATGTGATTGTTCGTTATCTATTTTATTCATTGTTTTGTTTGGTAAGTAGTTCTTTTGCTGTTTGTGCATGTAAAACAAACTTCAATCACCACCTCTTCTTCTTTGTATGTATGCAGTTTTGTGTGTTTGCCTATTGAGTTTTCTCTCGTCTTATGTTTATTAAAGCCTCATTTATTATTTAACTAAGACAGATAAATATTTAGTTTTTAATTTCTGTGTAAGGTAGCGAAAGTGCAAAATTTCAGTGAAATTGTTTTTTTTCGTTCATTTATATATGGTTTCATAGAGCTTGAAAAACTGGTTACGAATACATAATTTTTATTTCAACTCGGCTCCTGTTTGTCTTAGAAAAAGGGTTAAAAAGTCGAATGACTACTGATGTGGTATATTTAACCAAACGCTCACTTATTTAATCGAAATTGTGAAATTACAAAGACATTTGTCCTCTTCAGCTTTTTTAAAATATTATTTTCGAAATCAGCATCAAAAACTGCTTCGAATAATGTATGTTTAAAGAATTTTTTTTTCCTGCCGAAAATTCACCTCCAAGGGACTAAGGTAACAATTTTCGAAAAAATGTACCTGAGGGGACCACAGGTCGGTTTTTCATCAGAAACAGTTTCCACTAAAACACATATCGTTCAGAGCAGCTTTTGACGATGATTCCGAATATGGCATCTAGTTTTCTTTTTGAGTGTACTATAATAAAGATAAATGCTAAATATAAGTGGAGTTTTGTTCCCTTCACCTGATATTACCAGCACGCGGAAGAAAAATTGCATTTTCTCCACAATACAACGAAATCTGAGAAAACTAAATAGATACTTTTGTAGTACACGGTCCGATTATTCTAATGAGATAAAACACTTGCTTCTATCTGTTGTTACAAAAAACTAGATAGGTTCATAAGAATACTCAACAATTCACACTTTAAGACACACTGCAGCTATTACTTCCTACAAGATTTTCTGAACTTTTCTTAATATTACATTTAATCGAATAGCGTTTTCTTACTCAGATTTTTATGCTAATTTCGAATATAATATTTTAAAAAAGCTGAACAGGACAAATGTCTTTGAAATTTCACAATTTCTATAAAAAAGTGAGCGTTTGATTAAATATATCACATCTGTAGTCATTCGTCTTTTTCATCCTTTTTCTTAGCCAGACAGGGGCCGAATCGAAGTAAAAAGTGTATATTTGTAACCAGTTTTTTAAGCCCTACCAAACCATATATAAATGAACGAAAAAACAATTTCACTGAAATTTTTCACTGTCGCTACCTTACAAGTAATGCTATCCACTATTAAATATTTAAGTTTTGATAACAATCACTCATAGATATTACAATGACTTCGATAAACATTATGACATTTATTCTATTATAAGTTTTGGCAACAGAGGTGCCTATGGCGATAGCAGTTATGATTTTAAGAACATTCCAAAGCTGAAAGAATATGCATGGAATTTAAGTGTCTACAAATGTAACAATTCGAAACTCGAGAAAGCTCAAGGGATAATGATAGCAGCTCTTGTTCAGTACAGCATCAACAGTGAAATTCAAAACAACTTTTTGGATACCATCGAAACAGCAACAAGTTTTCAACTACGATCAACATTTGCGAAAAAATTGCCACAATGACGAAGAATGACTTTAACGAGATCAATGTAAAGTTTAACTTATATGACTCTCTTTTAATGTTCAATCCTCATGCTTGCTCAATTTATCCGACTACCCTGGAGAGAAAGATATTTATACCACGCAAATTATATATATAGACTAAAAGAACAGAAGAAAGACATATCGAATTGACACTGTAACAGCCAGCAGATAATCGGTTACGGTGTGAATGGGTGCCCTTGTGGAGAACA